GTGCCAAGAATAACAGAGTTGATAGAAGCTGAAGAAAAACGACGCGCACTGGAAAAAGATAGAGCGGAAGCTGCTAGAAAACGGAGAGCTATTTAAAGAAACTTTGAGTTCGTAATGTGAAGATTTTCCAGCGCAATTAAATGGTTTCTGAAATGGTAAGTTATATAGTTTCACTTTAACAATCCATTAAACTTCGTAGAAAACGGGCTTCTGAGCTCATTGTTTTGATTGTTTTCCATCCTTTCTCTCGTATTTTTATATTTTCTTTAATTATTTTGGCGGGCAGCCAATACTCACATTGCCAGCAGATGCACTGAAAATATACATTTGAATTGCAGCTCTAAGAAGAAAGTACACCAAACCTTCAAGTATGTCAAATTATTATTTGCAATGTTGTTCTTTAGTGCATCTGCATGGCTGTGCTGTGATGTGTGCAGTGGCTGTGCCCCACTTTCAGGGCAGTTTACTTTCGTCTTTTCTCGCTTTTCATCTTGAAAAGTCGTCACATAATGTTGTTATACTAGTTTCTTTATATTCTCGCGAATGTTCCTCTAGAGTAGTAGAAATTAGAAATTTCCCCTTGTGATTGAATTTGTTTTTTGTTCAGTATATATTTCCGTTTTCATTGAATAAATCTCCGTAGTTATGCCTGTTAATTTTCTTCTTTTGGTTTCATACCATCGTTGCCTTCCTAAGCAGTTAAAGTCAGGTCATAAGAGTAATAAAGATGATTTTGTGATCGTAGCAGGTGCTTGTTGCTATCTTCTAGTATCGGTTCATAATACAGAACTCTTTCTTTTTTTGATCATTAATTAAAAAAAGGTTCTGCTTAGTGGTAATTTCTGTCTAGCTAAGGTCTTTTCACATTTTAACACATGCCACTCTTGCTAGTTAATGTCCAAATGGAAAATATTGGTGCTCTAGTAGCATTTTCATAAAAAACTGTTAATCGTGTTCTTTTGTTTCATTGTCGTTCTCTTTTGCATTTCCATCTCACGGCTCATTTTTTGTAGGCCTGAAATTCCTGATGTCAGACGACGATGGTGTGGATATCGCCCCTTCAAAATTAGGAACAAAGTCTTAGTAAGTTGAGGTCGTCCTATTTCTTGTTACTTCAGTAAGCCTTTTTCGAAGCGGGTTGGGTTTGTGCTGTAGATATAATTGCATTTTTCGAGCGGGAACTTTCACTTCAGCGTTCATAATTCCAAGGGTATCTCGTGCTCTCTTCGGAAAGCATTTCTAGAAATTGCTGTGGTAAGGCAGTGAAAAGACTGAAATACAGTGGATCACTGATCCTAGTCGTTACGACTTCTCATCTATCTTCTGACGGTGAGGATTAAGTCTATTTCGTTAGTTAGTGTCGTTCTCGAGATACGCACTGTCTTCGACCTGCATTGGAAATTGCAGTGGCAGTTTTGAAGGAGTGCTAGGTATTTACAATGGCTTGCAGTGGCCCCTTGATGAACAACTCAGCTTTAACCCTTCTTGACAAGTCTGTGCATGGTACCAGTTAAGCGACCTAAGAGGGATGGAAGGCATGGTTGTCGTGGGCGAGTAAAGATCCGAGACTCGTGGTCAGATCGCTTACTGTGTGACAGTGCACCCTTGCCGCTGCACCACATTAAAATCTTTTCAGCGGTGTTGATGTACCATTGATCTGTGTTCGATTTTTTACCAGGATGATTGCCACAGCCTTTTTTTGTACGGGATTTCTTTTGCAAACTTGTACGTGGGGTCATTACTCCTAATATTTTTAAGTTTTTTTTTAGTTCCATTTAACTCGATATTTCACTTTTGCAATTAACGCACTTCTGCCAAAGATCTACTCTTTGAAGTATGAAACTTGACATTGAAAATAGCGAATGTAAAGGTCATGCACATACCTTCGGTAGAGCAGGTGCAGGCTTTTTTTCGAGACAAGGACAACAGTGNCAGTTTAACGAATAGATTTATAATGACACTGGGCTTTTTCGCCCCTGCTTCCGGCTATTTTCGATCGCACAGGGAAGGGAATATCGATTAAACAAATTGTGATATCATGAAGGCACCCTGATTGGCGAACTGTGATGTAAAAAGGTTCTTCGTGAGGTAATAGCGTTGGCAATCTTTCTTAGTTCATAAGCCAGAATTCTTAATGTTTGAACTTATACAATCGCCTCATTAACTTCAGTGTTCAGTTGGGATTCAATGTATGAATTGGAACTGCATAATTTTGAAGATTGCGGAGATGAAGGCGAGATTTGGTTTGGCAAGGTTGCCGAGAAACGGTTGGTTTATTTTTTCGTTGTCATTTCGACTGGCAATCATGGAAACTTACAAAGTCGACACCTCCAGGATAGTCGAGTTTGTCACGGCACACATACTAAAATCAGCTTCAATCCTCGATCTTGGGTGCGGGAATGGTTCCGTTTTANTTTTTTTTGTACGGGAATTGTTTTACAAATTTGTACGTGAACTCATTACTTCTTCTAATATTCGAAAGCTTTCTTCAGTTCCATATAACTCGATATTTTGCTTTTGCAATTGACGCACTTCTGCAAAAGATCTACTCTTTGAAAGTATGAAACGACATCAAAAATAGCGAATGTAGCGGCGGTTTAACGAATAGATTTATGATGACATTGGGCTTTTTTACCTCTGCTTCCGGCTATTTTTCGATCGCACGGGGAAGGGAATATCGGTTAAACAAAATGTGATCTCATGAAGGCACCCTGACTGGCAAACTGTGATCTAAAAAGGTTCTTCGTGAGGTAATAGCGTTGGCGATCTTTCTTAATTCGTAAGCCAGAATTCTTAATGTTTGAACTTATACAATCGCCTCATTAACTTCAGTGTTCAGTTGGGATTCAATGTATGAANCAGCTCCAATCCTCGATCTTGGATGCGGGAATGGTTCCGTTTTAAGGAATCTGGTGAGTAACTCATTTCAGGGCTTGTTAAAGTTGGGAAAACTTGACAAATTCTAGCACCCAAGGATAGCACTCAGAGTAGTGATTTTTCCCTGACTTCAAAGATAGGGTACAGGTTTGTCAACATGATTGCCCCGAGAGGCCCACTACTTGCGTCTGGTTCGGGGAACAAATCTGAGATCACAATTGCTTACTCCAACGAAGTCTCCCATTCTTCCTGTACTGATTATTTCAAAACAAATTGTAGTGGAAGTAGATTTGTACAACGCTGACCTCTGCAGGTAACGCACTCACCTGCTTTGCTATGATCCTGAGTAGAATTGAAATGGGTAAGCGCATAAGAGATTTCTCGTATCTCTGGCGTGGATTATATTTTCATCTCGCTATGGACGGTGTAGAATAATTCCCTCTGTGCTTCTACAATTCTGAAGCAACACCTAGACTAACCCTGAGAAGAATATAAACGGTACCCTTACTCGTTCTACATAGGAGAGCTTACCGAATCTCTTTGAAAGTGCCGGTTCATTTCTCCCTCTATGAACGGGTTTCTAAATGAATGTTTCAGAGGAAAAAAGGTTACACTCATCTTACCGGTGTAGACTATTGCTCTGCCGCGATCGAACTGGCGACACGTGTTTCGGAAAGCGATCAAGATTCTTCTGAATGTTCCATCAATTTTGAGGTTACCCTTTTTTCCTCTTTGTACAAACGTTCTCGTCGATGGTATACCAAAAGTTACCAGATAGACGAGGAGACACCATGCAGTAGTTTGACGAATTCAGAGATGTTAGAAAATTCTTGGATTTCAGGTTTTGGACATACTATCTCCAGCTAGGAAATGCTTTTCAAATCAGTATTCAGTTGTTCTGGATAAAGGCACATGGGACGCAATGAGTCTTTCGAATGATCGAGGTAACTAACTTATCTAAAGAGACCTTTCTCACTTCTGAAGTCACTTGTTGTGAATGCGAGCTTATTCATAGCACCCTAGACCCTTTCTCAGAAATTTCTAAGCACAATTTAACACACATGTACAACTGCGTAAAACCTAATCAACTTTCACTCATGGGGTTCATCTTGCTTTACTTTCTAGGAAAATTTTCAGAGTTTCGTCTGAGCGCATACAGAACTGCTGTTATTGAAGCTCTTTGTCGCTCTGGGAAATTTGTGATATTGTCGTGCAACTTTACTAGGTGAGAGCCTTGTGTTCTTTATTTCGAGTCGTACCACAGTATTTTCTTATTTTCGTTTGTTCTAATGAAACTTGTTGAGTGGCTAATGTTTCTTCAGCTGATGAACTAACTCATTTGATTGTGGTATATAATAACCTGAAAACTGAATATTGTAGAAAAGTTTTCGTAAGTCTTTTGAGCGTGTTCAGATTCTTAGTGGCGAGTGTCTCTGAATTTTCTCACTAGTTTCTACCTCAATTTCTCTTTGGGTTACACGTATCTATATTCGGAAGAAATGCTTAGTTATTCCCTCCAAGCGGGTTCATAAGTGCCGTAGTTTTACTAAGGAGAATCAAATTGTAGTGCCCTCACACTGTAATTCCTGAGACACATTTCAGGGACGAGTTGTGCAAATTTTTTGACGATGGCGCTTCTCTTGTGTTCCATAGTGACATTCCGTCTGCTCATTCAATCAGTTTCGGTGGTCGGCAAGGAGCTACTTTCACTGGTATTGTTTTTGAGAAAAGGTGATCTCGACTGCAGTTACCAACTTCATAGGGTATAGAGATTAAAAGTGTTTTATATGAGAAATGAATGTGCATGATATATGAAGGATTAAACTTTTATCAATCGCGGCATCTCCACTTTATGACGATTTATTCGAACGCACTGATGATTTGTTGACAAATTTGATTTCCATTTGTTTAAGTATATATTTCTTCGTTTGACGAAATACAGCGAAAATTGATGCAAGAAGTGTTGAACCGAGCACTATCATCACGACTGAAAAAGTTTTTGCTAAAACAACTGGTTGAATGCGCCCGAAAAGCTTCTGAAGTCAGTCATGTAGGTTGAAACACACAGATGCGGCCAACATCATCCGATCTGATTGGAAGCGTGCTCATTCTTTCAAGAAACATTCGCTCGTCACACAAATTTATCATATAAATTATAGAATATGATAGAGCAGCTATTAACATTAGTGATAGAATTTCCTACAAAAGAACGAAAGTTAGTTGATGTCTAAGCGTATTCTGTAGCCTACGGAATACCTCGGATCCGAAGTGAGGTCGTTCCCATTTGCTGAGAGGTTTGATTGTTCGGCCACTTCTAGCATATTTCTCTTGACAAATCTCACATTGATCCTTGTTCGACATTGCCACCCATCGAGATAGACACACTTCGTGAATATCTCCCATCTAGGAGGTATTGTTACTATCTTGAGTTCTAGGTCTGTGGCGTGTTTTGGCTCGATTGTAGTAGATTTTTCTGTCTAGCTAGTCAGAGCCCCTTAGGGTAAGCGTGAAATAGTTATGGAGAGTAAGAGTCAGAATGCGCCAACTCGATTACCTCGTCGCAGCTTGCAATCGAACCTGTAGTCGAATCAGAGCTCTTGTTCTTCAAAACAATAAATCAACGGGAAATTCGGAGTTGCAGCATACCATTTATTACTCAGTAGGATCGCCCTAACAGGAGTATCGACTTTTGGCCAAACACATGCCTACTCCGACGAACTTCGTTAGCGCTCCGCCCAGTCCTGGCCAAACCCTGTGGGTTGAAAAGTAACTCGGTTCCTTCCACATATATACCTCGGTTCCTTCCCCATATATACTTAACTGACTGGGTAATTTTACTCGAATCGTGCTTCCCGTTTCACACACGTTCCACCCTTCCCCTTCATACGCCCCTTTCCGTCGACTTATTTTTTATCAACCTGTTTGTTAGACAGATGAATCGGTCCCTCGGAACTCAAGAGTACCCTACACAGTTATGGCTGATGGGAAGCTTCTCTTGACGCATAGTATGGATAGATCGAGGGCGTGACTACTTCCGTCTTAAGCATGTAAAGCATTGGTGCCGAGAAAACCCTACTACTATATCGACAGTTCCCCTCTCCCGTCGGGCTGCAGCTTTTTCAATGTCCTTGCAGTATTAGCCACCTAGTCCTGCCTTACGCCCTCTTCCGTTTCGATAATTCCTCGACATACCTTTGACTCTGTTGTGAAGTAATCACATGGGTGTAATCAAGCGCCTACATCAAGCCTCGGGTTCCACATTCTGCCTTAGACATGCCTTCCGCGGTCAAGTCAAGCTCTAGGTATCGACCCATTGCTGGCAAGGCATGGAAGCGCCAACGCGAAGTCTGAATGCAGTCAATTGGAGCGTTCTTGTGCTCCAACATTAAAATATACATTTGGTGTAAGGTTTGTGGTTGTGGGGGGTTTATTACATTGCATAGCAAGGGTAAATACACCTTTCCTATCCTGAAAAATGCTTCCAATAGAGCAGCTATGCGCTCTGCAAGGGTGGATGGGGTCGACCGTTCGCCTGTTGTAACATAATTATAGAACGACGTTTAAGACTAAAGACTGTATGTTTCCTGAGCCCACTTTCTCCACCTTCTTAGAGCTTTTCAACGCCCACTTCCTTCAAGCATTAGCCACATGAGAACTAATGGAAATGAATCGGTTGGAGACTCATAGAGATGAAATAGACCCGTCAGAGTTGCTCCCATATTTCATCCCATTCTAGCTGAAGAGGTGCGAATTATGTGGGCGGAAGGAATTCTAAATACTACTGCAATTCAAGCATTTTGCTCCGAAAGTACCTCCGCTACTCCCAACTGCACAATTCAGTTGTAGAGCCAATTGAAGACAGAAACAGAGAGGGGACAGCTTTAGGCCAGTTTGAAAGAACTGCATATCGTAGTGATGAGTGATGGTGGCACTCTGTATTCGCCTTCTTGACAAGAAGATGCGAAGACTGAGGTACTCCTTGACTCACTCGCATGGGAGTCCTAAAAGGAACGAAGGCAATCTGATGACGATTTGCTTTGCCCAAGGATGTGATCACTCTTGACGAGTCCCATGGCAGGGAGACCAGTTGCGAGCCCAACTTCGACGAAAGAAAAAGTGGATGAGAGGAAGTGGAAGGGTTTATTTCTACTCGAGAAAGGCTCAGTTTTTCACTGTAATCTCGCAGCCATAAACGACCGGATGACCGTACACCCATGTTTCACAGACAATTTGGATATTTTAGGAGTTACCGTTCCCGCGCATCCACATGGTCGTACCATCTCGCCGCTTTCCGACTGACAAATACGACATGCTCTTCGTTCAATCGACGACGACTGATCAGAATCCGAACCGCACCTGAAAACAAAAATTTTCATTTTCGACTTTTTTTTAACAAGATCAAAGCAGCCATTCGTAGTAAGCTGATGACTATTTCTGGGCTATTTCGTCCTACCGGAGTATTCATTTCAGAGTAATTATGTCTAGGGCATAGGCGGTACAGTGGCAAGTGGCGCACTATCACACATGCATGGTCAAGGGTTCTTATTTCGTATCGGTACTCTCCCCACGAAAAACAGGCCTTCGATCTTTCCCGGGTCGTATGATTAGTAACACACTGTCTAGAGGGGTAAAAGCACTGCTGACCTGTTGGTTGGCCGCCGCAAGCCATTGTATAGGCCCTACACGCTATCAAAACGTGGTACGATTCCGAATTGAAGTCAATTGCGAGGCGCATCCCAAAAACAAGGTTGATTGACGAGTATGAGATTTCCATAATTAGTCCATTATTACTCGAAAGAGTAGGCTCTATTTCCCGACTACTTCATCCAATTCTTAAAGGCGCGATTCGCGATAAGGAGTAATGGTAGTAAGTGTTGATCTCTAAACAGGCATCACTGTCAGTTTCGAATTAAGCTCTTGGCGGTGTAACCTGTTCATTCCAAGGTAACCGATCATGCCATTTATGGAACTATGAGCGTTGTTCGCACGATAAAAGGCACACGGACACCGGCTGTGGTAATTTCTTCCC